TCAGTTTTTGAATTATAACAATATGAATTTAAAAAAAAATTAATAATGAAGAAATATTTAATATGCATTTCACGGTTTGTTTAAAGGTATTTTATGTTTAATATATATTCATTCCCATAGAAAAATAAGAGATGGTGTTATCTTAAGGTATCACTTGACCTGCCAATGAAAAAAATCACTGTTCACCTTTAATAATTTATGCATTCTATCTTAAAGCAATCTTTTCAGCGAGAAAGCGCACGTAATGCCATATGAGGATTACCCAGAACAAAAAGTAATAAAGTAAACGCAGCTTCGCCACATTTCTTGACCAACATGCTATTGTAAAAACTAAACACATATCCAGAAATGTGTATGTTTGACAAAATTTCGACACCCTTGATGAATTATAAATGTTCACCTTACTCTCTAAAGAAGTTGTAGGGAAAGAGTAATTAATTATTTACACTAGCCAATCCGTAAATTTGAACTGATAGACTAGAGACAAAGCATCTAGTCAACAGCACCCATCACCAACTCATGGACAACTCCACTTGATTAGAGGAACTTGACCATCACTGTTATAACACATTCACGGCAACCTAGTGTGGAGTACATTTTTGTATATTTGATAAAAGTGAATCCTGAACCCCCGGATCCACAGCTTTCACTCTAACAACTAGCCTCGCTCGGACCTTGACAACACGTAATATGATACATAAAAGTGAAAAAAAGTCACGAAATAAGTAGATTAATTAAAACGTATATGGTAATCTATCACACTTATAATTAAACCAGCTTATTCATCATATCAACTATTAGTTAGCAAATCAAAATATCTTGGAGTTTCTATATAATGTGGCATTTCTTCTCTTTTAGTAGTTCCATTGTTACTAAGTTAACAAATGCTTTATGAGGTCTTTGCTTTTATTATGAAATCACTTACTTATGTCATGTACTCTCCCGCCATATCATATACCTTTCTAGTTTTGTCTGGTGTTAGGTTATTTATTGATTAAGAATTTCTGATTAGGGGTAAGCTTTCACACTGGTTTGCACTTGTACTCACGTGAACGAGGTAGTATAGAAGGTTAAGCTATTGGGGTGGCTTTTATTTCTCAGTTGATATTTTAATAAGGTTTTAACTTCCTGGTAATCAAGTTGAACTAATACATTACACATCAGGGTCCAAGAGACGTGATCAGTTAGTAATGCTGATGAACTGGCTCAAAATTCCCTTCGGTAATAACAAACGTTAGCTGGGTTGATAGAGACATGGCATTCATGTTTCCCTTTTCTCCTTGATTACAGTTGGTTATATTGGATCCACCTTTAGGTTGTAAACAGTTCCCATACAAAAATATGCCAATGTCAAACACCACGTCATTTTCAAGCATCGAAGACATATGTTCAATGAATGTAATGAACCTATAAGTAGAACACAATTTAAAACCTTCGAAAAGGCAAAGAGAAAACAGTAACTGCATTTGAAGAAAATTCTATTGAGCGTTATATTTAAATCAGGATTGAATGAGTAAAACATTGCACTTCGTTTATTAAAAATATTTTTCAGTCATTAATTCGAAATATTTTATTATTCCACGTTCAATTAATTTTACGTCGCCCTCTTAATTTACGTTATTTGTCCATTTTCAGTTACTTTACTCTTTCCTTGACATTAATTTCGACATTCTTTTTTTATTATTATTAAACGGTTTATTAATTCGGAATTTTTCTTTTCCCTTTAATTTCTTGGTTTATCTTATCACTTTTACGTGGCCATCTTAATTTACGTTGTTTGTCCATTTTCAGTTACTTTATTTTTTCTTCGACATTGCTTTTTATTATTATTAAACGCTTTATTAATTCGGAATTTTTCTTTTTTCTTTAATTTCTTGGTTTGTCTTATTACTAATATACGATGACGTCAATCCACTGAGAAGGACAAACTAGACTGAAGTTTCTTCCCTGGTTTTAGGAATAAAGCATACTTGTGATATTTTTGCTGAAGTTATGACCTGAAAATCAAAATATATGACAAGAGAACAAGACATATGTTTTTGTGTAACATGAATATTTGTTGCTTATTCTTTATAAATGACCAAAAATGAAAATATATGAATAGAGAACAACATTTAGTTTTTGTGTAATATGAATATTTGTTGTTTATTCTTTATAAATGGTCCCGTCACCAAAAATGATCGCCCTTTCAGTTATGCGAACATTATAATGTGATGGTCAATCTCATTTTTTGTAGGTAAAAAGAGAAGCCAAGAGTTGGCGGTCGGTGGTATTTACTAGTTGTCTTCCCTTTAGTCTATCACTTTTACATTAGGAATGGGTAGCATAGGTAGCCCTCTTGTAGGTTTACGCGAAATCCGATAAACAAACAAACTATATTTATTACGAAGTTTCCAAGGCAGTCTTTTTTTCGAATTTAGTCTTTTAATTGAGAAGCCAGGAATTTTCTGGCAGACAAGAACTCTGTCTTGGAGTAATAAATTATTAGACTGTACAAATAAGACAATTAACAGTTTTAATGATACATAATTAATGTAAAATAATTAATATAAGGTAGATAGATTACAGAAACCTTAGTGAAGTCGAGCGAGCTTTTGTGAATCAGAATTATTAGTAAGTAGAATGTGCTATTCAGGCACACTTACGTTCAACAGATAAGTTTAAAAGTATCTGCAAGAATGAAGATTGCGGAAATATACTGCAGTGAAAAAAAAGCAAGAGATAAGAGAGCGAGACTTCTTATCCTTCTTCGTACTTTTTCTTTTTAAGCTCAAAGAATCAGAGGCGCTCAGAAATGGTGTAGATACACAATTTTTATAGTTGGGCAAAAGTCTTAGCGACATATTCAACAAGTCCTCGGGTTACATACTTTGACTGATAGTTCACATACAGTTCTAAGCCAAGCCAGTTAGACAGGTTTCTATATTACCAGTTTTAATTATAATCCTCCAAACAGAAACGTACGTGCTAATTTGCATGCAGTATGTAACCTTTACTTGTCTCAAATAATTTGCACAAGTTTATGACCTTGAGACATCCGATAAACACGAACATGATTAACTACATGTAGAAATTACACAGAAATTTCGAAAACCTAAATTTATATACCAGAATAAAGATATATTATAAACTAATTATGTTTGTTTGTTGAATTTCGCGCAAAGCTACACGAGGGCTATTTAGCAGTGTAAGATTAGAGGGAAGGCAGCTTGTCATCACCACCCACCGCCAACTCTTGGGCTACTCTTTTACCAACGAATAGTGGGATTGACCGTCACATTATAACGCCCCACGGCTGAAAGGGTGAGCATGTTTAATGGTACGGGGATTCGAACCCGCGACCCTCAGATTGCGAGTCGAGCGCCTTATCCACCTGGCCATGCCGAGCCAACTAATTATGTAAGATGGAGTTCATAGATGTTTCAGCTATGACAGCTAAATTATAATTCTAGCTTCCAGTTGACATGGTTAGCTAGTGAGACTGGCATTTAATTAAAAAAAAAAACGTGTTACGTACTTAGAAGTTCTGTTCAAAGTAATCTTGAAGAAGACATCGGCATTAATGAAAATCCCAATAAAACTATAGAACAGCTAAATGAAGATATTGCTTTTTGTTTGATGGGGTGTGATGTTGAAAAAAGAAAAAGACGTCCTAATATAAGAAAACCTAAAACAAAGAAAAATCTTGGTGTTAAAAACGTCACCTACAATTTATACAACCTAATTAATGTGTTTGTGATGGATCTAACACACGGTATTCATTGCGAATATTATGCATGACAATCCGACAGCTTATGAAATATTTGTACCTAAAGTACACTTCAGTTGATCAACATTTTGTATATTTTATGTTATTTTGTTTAGAGCTTGTCTGTTGATAAGCGCTACAGTGCACAACGAGCTATTTGTGTTTTACCCATCCGTTGCCTGGATCGAATCCCGAATTTTCGCGTTATAAGCTCTGCAGCTTACCACTGAGCCATCATGGATATTTATGGAGGTGGAACAAAATACGTCGATTTCATCTATAAATACATTCATGATATATAAAAGTTCACGGGACAAAACAGTTAGAGAGGCTTCTAATTTCAAACCTACAAAGGGATGTTCAAGTTTACTCATCAACTAGCCATCTTCTGCTGCTTTGCACATATTTATGATATAATAAATTGTGTATTACATTAGTCGCTTATCTTATTTCTGATTTTAATCATGTGTCGAGCTGCGGATCGAAGGCCACAAAATTTGGGAAATGATGCAGTTAAAGATGCTATAGGATTTCACCTGTAGGCGCGTTTTTTTATTTTATTTTTTGAATAAAAGTTGTTATTATTCCCGTTATTCGTTTCAAAGTGGCAGACAAAACATTTGCGATGACGGTTGCTGCTGGCCGGCTAGCCCACTTTCTCATAAAATATATTTAAGTTGAAAATTCTAATTCCTTGATTAGGTAACATTGTGTAACTGTACACTGAGAAGTATAAACTATCAATCAAAGTAATTTTACAACGCCATGTAATAATATTTTCTTTATTTATTATATAATTCAATTTTTATTTTCACCTGGCAAGCCAAATATTAACCAAATCTGTGATTTGCTTAATATAAATTTTTGGTAATTTATTATGATCGATTGTATCTAAAATGTGAAAAAAAGGATAAGAAAACGAACAAAATTAATATTGTTAAAAATGTGTATTTAATTTCAAAAGTGAAAAAATAAGATAAGAATAAATTTATAATTCTTTCTTTAAAAAACAACACAAAATGCAAGTTCGAAAAATGTTTACGTATTTTTTTTTGTAGTTTTGTTATTATTTTTCATTTGTTAATGTTTATAGAAAGACCGGGCCATCTGTATTAAATGTGTATTTAATTTCAAAAGTGAAAAAGATAAGATAAGAATAAATTTATAATTCTTTCCTTAAAAAACAACACAAAATGCAAGTTCGTAAAATGTTTACGAACTTTTTTTTTGTAGTTTTGTTATTATTGTTCATTTGTTAATGTATATAGAAAGACCGGGCAATCTGCCATAGCTTGATTCGTGAGCTTGTTAATGTAAGTTTGAGGATCGTATTAGATTGTTTCGCCGAAATCATCATGGCTCTTATTAGGAGTTGTTTTTGCAGACTTAGCAATTACTCTCAGGTAATAATCATACATCATTATTTTGTTCATAAAAGACTTCGCTTCATAAATCAATTAAAATACGTAGTAAAATAGCTACATTTATGTGTATGTATATATATATATATATATATGTAGGGCCTACCTTCATTGGAATCCTTTACGGCTTTACTTTGCCTTTAGGCTTAGGTTTAGATGGCCTATTTATTAATACTATATAGTAATAGTAGTAATTGGTAATAATACGTAGTAATATTACTGTTAGCTTAGTATTATTATTACTGTAATATTTGTGCAAGATGTAAATCTCTTTTCATTCCAGTATTTTAATTAAAATTGAAGTTAAATTAATACAAGTAATCTAATAGTAGTGCTACTGAGTAATAGGTTATTTCTCAGAAAGATTCTTCTCTGTGTTAGGATACTTGGATGGTTATTAATAATAGTACTGTAATATTTTTATAAGTTAGCATTTTGTTCTCTACATTATGTAATGCATAAAACTAAAAATATTGCATATTATTATTATGTTTAACTTTAAGCAAATGTTCTAATTAACAACTTTGTTGAGGAAATTAAGTGGGTGAGTAGTTTTCTCAAGATGATGAATAGCTTCATTCATTTGTGAGGTTATTTTCATTCAGAAATATGCTGTTTAGACTTTCATTTTGAAGGGCCATTTGGTCCATCTAAGCTAGCCCATTTTTTACACTTATCCTGATGAAAACTACATTTACAAAAAAATTCTTATATACAACCTTGATCTCTTAAAATATCCAGTCTCTTAAACTACATTAGTATTATAGCTTCTTTTAGAAAAATAACACTGCCTTAACTGGAGTTGCATCAAGTTTTTAATTTTTTGTGTTCTGTATTCTAACTGCCTACACAGCTTTTATGAAAGTATCTTCTGGATTTGTGGATTTTAAACCTCTAACAATCTTAAAAACCTCAGTCATGTTCCTCCCTGTCCTCTTCTTCTTTAGTGAAAATGTATCAAGAGATTTAAAACTGTTCCCTTACAGCAACTCCTCCAATCTTGGATTCATCATGATTGTTCTTTTCTGAATTCTTTCCAACAATTCAATATTCTTTCTTAGATAAGGTGCCCAAATCTGAAAACAACTTTTAAAATGAGGTCTAGCTAGTACATTATAAAGTGAACATGTGAGCTCTTTTGAGTTATATTTGGTGTTTCTAGTACACAACCTAAAATCCGGTTTGCCCTATTAGTTACTGAATGAAGTCTAGAATGATTAAGAAATTTTGTAATAGCCCTGCTTATATCATTTTTCTAATCAGTTTCAACTAGTTTCTCTGGTGAGGCAATAAGAATAATTGTTCTTTGTACTCAGAATGTGATTAATGAAATTATAATAATGTGAGTATGATCAATAGAGCTGGGTGATTAGTGGAATTTGATAATTGATTAACCATTGGGCTTATTAATTGATTATTCTCTCATGAGACATGGATAGCTGGAATACTTGGAAACACTAATTAGTTGATTATTTTTGTGAGGACTGACATTAATCAAGCTGAACAGCTTTCAATTAACCAGAAAATAATAAATAATGAGAAATCTAATGGTAATATTTCAGTTACTTGGATTGTTTAAATAATCAGAAACCCTAATTTTGATTAGTTGATTATTTTCAGGAGATTAATTTATTTAATTGTAATTTAAATTAATCATCTCTGAAGCTAATCGATGCTCATATATAAAGAATCTAATTGCCAATTCTAGTGATTAATAATGTTGTGTTCCATTTTTAGAAATGGTTTCCAGAAATTATGAAATATATAATGAGAGGCTAATCTAAATAGGGAAAGTTTTATGATGCTTTGGACAATTTTATTACTTTAATGAGATAGCTGAAAATGTACTTCTTAAATAATGTATTTCGACTCTCACAAGCCTCTCCTAAAGCACAAGTAAATTATTAATAAAAGTGCCAAATATACAATAAAATGAAATGTACACACATGAAAGATGGTGAAATTTATTTCAATAAACAGAAAGAAATTAACAGATTGATATGGATTGCCATTACTGAGCATTTAAAGTTTTTATGTTTGTTAGCCACAAAAAAAGTCATTGATAACACTGATTCTTTAAGAGGTTTTAAAAAGAACCTAATCTAATTAGGGAAGAAATGACCTACTTAAGAACACAGAAGAGTAATGTAACAATATTCAGCCCAACACCAGTCATCTAAGCTACATTTGGAAGCATCAAACCAAAATCAACTCTTCACATCCATCTGCCTATTTAACAAAATCTTATGAATGAATAAGTCATGATCTATGTTTCTGAAGCTTAACATGTTACTTCTAGTAACCAAAATCACATTTATAACATATTCATTTGATTAACCACACCACCCATTAGTAGTTTATCTTATGAAATGTTCAAAATAGCTGTGGTTTATTGATAGTAGGAAATTTAAAAGAAGTTTAGAGGTACTTGTAGCCATGTCTATTAAATGTCAAAAGAGGTAATTATTTCTCTATATAAATCACTCTGAAGGTCATATTTGGAATAATACTGCATACAGTGTTGGTCTCATTATCTAAGAAAGGACATTGACTTCCTGTAAAGGATTCAGGGGAAGGCTACTAGAATGGTTCCAGGTATAGAATAGTTGTCTTATAGAAACAGGTTAAGATCTTATATTTTTCATGAGAAAATAATGGTTAGAGGTAACTGTATTTAAGTTTAAAAGATTATTCAAAGGATTGATTGGATAAAGACATCATATTTCTTTTTGCTATGTTCTGAAGACAACAGGATGAGAGGACACAAGTTTAATATTTGGAAAAAGCAGGCTAGGCTCCAGTTAAGACATTTATTTTTCTAACAGAATGATTGGCTTATGGAATAGTTTGCCATCAGCAGTAGTGGAGGCAAGCACTTTTTAGAGGAAAATTGATGATTTCCTGAGAAATATAGGGTGGGTTTGAATTTTTACTTTTCTCAGGGATGGATGTGCAAGGACAACCCTGTAGGGAAAAAATTAAGCAAGTTAAGCAATCACAGTTATCATGGCTCATTTACAACACTTGCATTGTTTAAAAGAATTACCTCAGGTCTGTAGCACTACTGAATCATAATGAATCATATGTTTGTAGCCTTGAGCAGGTTCGTTTACTGCTGTACCTTCTATGCTGGAATTATAATGTCTCACGTGAAGATATAAATTTTGTAACTGGGTTACATTACTGCTATAAAGAATAACTTCTTTATGTCAAACAAAACTTCTTTCATTAAATGCAATTCTCAAAGAAATTTGCTCTACTCTGATACTAGGATCATGTTTAGGGTTTAGTTCACTATACATTTCATTAAATTTCCAAGGTTTGTACTATTTTAAGATCATGTTCCATTTTTGACTGTGAAAAATTTGTAGTACTTATAGGTAAGAATACAAGTTTTATGGCTTCTTATTTTATTGTTTCACAGAAAACTATTCCAGCTTTATCTGTTGTCTCAAGAAATTCCTCTGATGCAGGTGTAAGTACATGTTCTGGAGAGTAATACTGGCATGAAAATTGTAAATAGTATTTTGTTTTAAAATGCTTCTGTGTTTTATTTTTTCAAGAGTTGTAATTTAATTATGTACTTCTCATATTGTAGACTTATCAAAGTACTAAATTTCTCTTAGGTTAGTGTGGTGTAACTGGTCAGTGTTGCAAGAAAAACATTTATTGACTTCCTTGGAACATAGAAAAGAACAGTAGTAAGACCCATAAAGTGGAATTACAGTACATGAAAATTATTTTAATAATACTTTTTTTGTATTATTCTTAGGAATATCTTCATGTTATAAATTTTGAGTGATATAAATGTTAAAGTTAATGAGTTAAAGGAAACTATTAAATCCTTTTGTAGATGATAATTTATGATAAAAATATCAAAATTTGAAAGAAAACAAAAGGAGTTTAAGGTTTAGACCAATGTGAAAAGCATAAAACTGTTGGAACCCAAGGCATACATGTTATTTAACCGAAAGATAGGGTGAAATTTTAAGAAATATGAGTATTATTTTGGAAAATTAAAATCCCTGACATTGATTATGAACAAGTGGAAAATACAGATAGAATGCTTATGGTAAGTGAAGAAAAATAGTTATTATTGAAACATTTAACACAGGATCTCTCCCTCAACCAAAGGTGCCTTGGTGGCAGAGATCAGGCTTAAAAATTTCAGAATTTACTTGATTTTGGTGGAACTTGTACAGTATGTAGCGTACAATGAGATTATGATGACTACAATTCACAGTTTCCAGATCAGACAAAAATTGACTGAGCTATAACTGGTCACATCAGCAGCAGCAACTCCATAATTAATGATAGTACTTCTTGTTGTGTAGCCAAACAGTCCACTACTTGAGCTTTCTTATTCTTCACCCATTACTGTATCTGTTATTCAGACCTTCACCAGATACCTACAAGTTCCATTGACTAAGAATGAAACTTTGATACTCTTTGATATGTCATTATCAATCACCATTATTCTCTTGATTACTTGCACATGCAATGCAAGGTTTCAAGATGTTCAGCTTGTAGCCTGTGCAGCTGCTGTGGATGTGATCACTATAGACTTTTGACAGCTCTTGTTTGAAGCAAATCAATATATCAAACCAAAAATGCTGTGGCAGCACTCAAAATAGGTTTGATGTTGAACTGGCCAATAGTGATAGTAGTAGTATTAGTAGTAGCCTTTTGCCAGATCAGAAGATAAAGAACAAGGATTCCAACCTCAAACACACAATGAAGGAAGGTTACATGATTTGAGAATCAAGAAAAGAGATATTCAGTTTGTGTGTGTGACTGTTGCTGGTTAGATGGTGTGACCACTTTGAAATGTCGTTTCTCTGACTGCTCGTAACACCCAAATGTTATAATCGTATGGATTTTGTATTTGGATACAGGAACGTACTTTCCAATGTTGTATGCAACACCTCCGAGAAACACCTGCCACTCAAAAACATTACTTCCCTCCTGGTTGAGGGAGGGATCCTATGTTAATTATTAAAAAGATTGTGATATATGGTTATCTAAGAAAAAAACCAAAAATCAACTCAGAAATACTAAAAAATACTGCCAAATAAAATGTATACATCAATTAAAATATCAGAATAATAAATATTTAGAAAGTTAGAGCATTTGGAAAGGGTCATGCATACAGATTTGTGAAGTGACAAGTTCTCTTTAAGGAAAAAATTAAGAAAATAAGGTAATAATTATTTGATACAAAAATTATATATACAAGTAATGAAATAAAGTAAGTAATGAAAAATGAAAGTTTTTATGGTAAGCCAAAAAAAATTATTATAGGGTCCTGATTTTGATCAACAGATGACTTCAAAGTTGGTGGATTATGTAGATGATAAAAAAATAACATTGTGTATCTGGGTTATAATTTTTATGTAATATACTGTAATGTTAGAAGTTAAAAAAATATTGGGAACAATTGATAGTAATTTTAAATTGTTTTTGAGAATGTATACTGTTGTGTTAATATTGTCATAACCTAATGTTTATAAAAACCAACTTTAGTGTTTCAAATAATGGTAAATTGTATATCATTGATAAGAATAACAAAGGAAGAGGCATTTATATTCTACGAAAACAATAAAATGTGTGTTTAGATTGATTATAATGTAGTAGTGGCAAAACCTATAAACATGCAGATTAAAGATTTACATAAATATCTGGCAATTTATAAATCTCCAGTGTACGTGAGTTTTAATGTTAGCTTACAAAAATGGCTAAAATATAAAATACAAAAAATGTCTTACTTATCGAAGATATGAATGTAGATCTAAGAAATGTAGATCTTAGTAACTAATTTTGATTTAATGTTGAGAAAATAATAGTAAGTATAGTAAGTTGTTGATATATAAAAATAAGCATTAAAGATATTTTGGTAGAGTTCCCATTGCTAGTCCTAGTTGTCACCTTAAGGTCATAGGTGACATACACAGTAATACCTCGATATGACTATATTCCATAAGTGAAGTTTCAGTATTACAAACTTTGGATTGTTTACCATTATTTTACACAGAAAGCTAAAAATAGAGTAAAATAATGAATAAGTACACTGAAATTAATAAATAAATAATAAATTAATTGATCTACAGTACAATATAAATAAGAATAAAATTATAATAAGATATGTATTCTTAAGCATTGCACATTGAGATGGTCATATAGTGTTTGTTAATATTTGTCTCAGCTGTTGGGCAGGATTCTGTATAATAGGTGTCTGTGGCTTGTTTGCAATACACTTAAATAAACAGCACACAGTCAACTTGTTTTAAATATTATATATATATATATATATATAATAAAACAAGTTAAATATATGTACAACTATTCCTTACACTGCTCTTTATCACAGTTGTCCCCAGAGCTTTTAAATAATTCTCTTTTTCATCAAAAGTCCATACAGGCTTGTTCAGTTACTTTAGAACAAAGTTGACAAGATGAATTATTCTTCCCCTACTCTGCTATTACAATACAAATCTGTGATACTTTCTCTTAAAAAAATAGACACTCTTTATGGTTAAAATCACAATCACACTGTTTCAAAATATCTGTATCTATCAAAGTCTAACTCTCTCTCTCTCTCTCTCATAACTGTCGATTCATATATGTATATACTCGCTTGTTAGCATCAAGAACTTTCAGCATACTATTAGGTAATGACATAACAGCATTAAAATAAGAGCAGGAAAAACTTAGAAGGTTTGTGTTACATTATACGATAATATAACAAACACCAGTTGACAACAACTGAACTACACTGTATGATTCGTACAAAGTAACCTAACCAAATTTTCTATAAATATTGCTTCTAAAAATAGCTATCTAATGCTCATGCTATACCAAAAAAAGAAAGTAATACACTTGTACATATTTAAATTTAAATGAACAGTCATGTATATCTAACATTGGCCAATAAGCATGCAGCAATGAACTACAGCTTACTGTTCTCAAACTGTTCTAAGTTGTCTTCCTATTATCAATTTTGTTGTGCGATTGTAGTATTGCTGTAAATTGTTTGCTATTATCAAGTGTTTAACTTGCTAAAAGTGACTTTCATTATGAACAAATTTATACCCAATATGTTTATGCAAAAGAAATCAAGTGATAAACCAGTTAAAAGACCGATGCAAGTCATCACATTAAAGCAGAAGCTGGATGTTATTCATCAAATCAAGGCTGATAAGCATCAGGCAAATGTTGGTAAAGTTTGATTTCCCTGGCTCTACATTTAAAACAGTTCTGAATAGTTCTAATAAAATTAAAAGTTTTGGTCAGTCTGCCACTCCTATAAATGCTTTGGTGTTAACTCTTACTAGAAGTTTACATGTGGAGAAAATGAAGAGAATGTTAGCAATATGGGTTGAATATCAGAACCAGCAAAACTTGCCTTTAAGTTCCTCTTTGACAATGGCAAAAGCAAAGAACATCTATGGAACTTTGAAGTATGAAGAAGGTGAGGGGACAGAGTATGAGACTTTCACAGCTAGTAAGGGTTGGTTTGATAAATTTGAGCAGCACAGCGACTTCCATTGCATTAGTATAGCTGGCGGAAGAGCTAGTGCAGACAAACATACAGCAGTTGAATTTCTTCAAAGGCTGAAGGACATAATTGAAGAAGATGAATACCCCTCCCCACACACACACAGAATTAGTTTATAATTTTGATGAAACTGACCTTTATTGGAAACATATGCCTTCAAACACTTTTATGTTCAAAGATGAAAAGTGAGTGTCAGGATTTAAAGCTACCAAAGACAGATTAACATTACCACTGGGATCCAGTGAATCTCATGATTACAAATTAAAACCCATGCTGGTATGCCATTCAGAAAATCCACAAGCTTTGAAAGGATATTCAAAAGAGAATCTTCCTGTCATCTGGAGATCCAAACAAAAGGCCTGGGTGATACAAGACATTTTTCAACAGTGGTTCATGTCTAGTTTTTGTCTTTGTGTGTTGGCATATTGTGAGAAAAAGGAATTAAAAAAAAAAAGTATTTGTTACTGCTAGATAATGCCCCAGGCCACCTGCAAAATCTTTATCCTGCAGTCTTCTCTCAAAGTAGAAATTGTTTTTTTACCATCAAATACAACATAACTCCTTCAGCCAATGGTGCAGGGAGTCATTGCTGCCTTCAAGGCATATTATCTCAGCTGCTCCAGGCTAGTAATGGAAAGGATAAGCAGGCCATTAAACACTGTTGGAAGGGATTCAACATCATGAAGGTCATGGAAAATATTGGTGCAACCTGGGATGAAGTTTCCACCAAATGTTTAAATGGTGTGTGGAGAAAGATATGGCCTGAAACAGTCCATGATTTCGAAGGCTTCAAAGACAACGACCAGGCAGTCACCAACAAAATTGCCAAGCTGGCTAATGACACTATATTTAGTGAAGTTTTCACGTCAAATGTACAAGAGTTGTTGATTTCTCATGAGCAGAGTCTAAGTATAGAAGACCTTGAGCTGGACAAACATTGAATTGTCGAAGACTACAATAATTTTCAAGAGATTATTCTTAAAAGAAATTTCACAACCAAAGTTCTATCTAAGGCTTTCAATCAAATTTATAGTGCATTGGAAATGCTCCAAGAACATGATCCAAATTTGGAGTGAAGCAGTGCTATCAAGAGAGCTGTTATAAATGACATCAACTGCTACAATGTCATTCTTAATGAGAAGTAGAAGAAGGCAAAACACTTCATTCCTTCTGAAAACAATGTTCCAGTGAAGGAAGGAAAGCATCAGCGTGGACCATTGTCATTGATGGATCCTGTCAGCCCTCTCCACATCCCTTCTCCCATCGAAACTATAAATGGAGCTTTGGTGACAGTACACTACGTTTCATTTATTTATGTCAGTTTTTAATTTTAGTACCATACAGTATAAAATACTGTATAATATTATTTTCAAATAAATTGTCTTTGTTTACAATATGGATTGTAAGTTATGAAGTTTTGCAGTTTTTATGGTCATTTTTCCATTTATTACCACTACTTTGCTCCCTGTTAATGGATCTTCACCAAATTTGGCATGAAAATTTGTTGGGTTCATATGGAGATATATACAAACTTGTGGTTTCACATTTTGTGTCTTGCAGTTTTTATGGGTGTTTTTGCATTTTTTACAATTATATATAAGGGAAGCAACTTTTCATATCCTAAGATAACCATTCATTAATCATGAATTTATACAACTTCCATCTAGGGGATGGGTGCTCCAGCTTGTTACAGATACCTTTTTTTACTGTAAGTGGCCATTGTTTAAACAATGAACCTTGGACAGTCAGAGAAACTAAAGATGCAGTTAATGAGATCAAGTTTTGAAAATTTCTAAAATTAAATTGAAAAAAGATATAAATTATAATATAACGCAAATAGGAATTACAACAAAGTAATAAGAAAAGCAAAAACAATCTTAGTTTAACAAAAATTCAAAACTGATATTATAATGGAAGACAGCATTAGAAATGTGTATATATAATTTTAAATAAGAAGAATGAAAAAACTAAAAGTGATTATTAACATGCCTAAAAATCTATTGATATCACAGCTAGTAAGTAATTGTAACATTTATCACATTGAGGGTATTTTGAAACTGAAAAGCAAATGTCCAAAAACAGTATCATAACGATTTAAACCTCAAAACAAATACATTTAATTAATCAATATATTTTCAACCTGTCACTGTTTATGAAACTCAAAGCATTATTAATTCACTTGATGATAAAAAGTTTTGAGGGACTGATACCATAAAAATCAAAGCTCTATATTACATCTATTGCTTAAGTTTTAGTGAGATTGTTAAAAATATTACGTTTAAATAAGGCAAAATATTTGAAAATTTAAATCCTCAATTACTGAACTAATATTTAACCCTGGGAAAAAGGTATGAGTACAATAATTATGATGCAGTTTCAATTTTTCAATGTATTGTAAAACGTATGGAGAAAGATCTAGCTAAAGTGATTGAATTTTGATAAATCAATTGGATTAATTTAACACAGTAATAACTTGAACACTAATTTTGATTGGTGGATTAATTTTTTTTTGTAACCATCAATTTAATCGACTATGGAAACATCAAAAGCAGTAATAATTGGAAAACACACTAATTTCAAATGATTGATTTAATCAAAATTTTGATTATATCACTCGCACACCCATCACCAAACATGCTTGTCCTTTCAGCTATGGGGCATTAGTTAATTTAGTAACTATGACTCTCTTAAGGTAGCCAAATGCCTCGTCATCTAATTAGTTACGCGCATGAATGGATTAACGAGATTCCCACTGCCCCTATCTACTATCTAGCGAAACCACAGCCAAGGGAACGGGCTTGGAAAAATACTTAGGGAGCAACTTTCTGATTTGGGGAATGGTAAAGTCACGAAATTCAATACCATCTTCAGGATCCAATTGTGAAGTTTCTGTTACAAGACCTCTGATACCTCGCATTCATCCATAAACCTACATAGTGAGAAAGCAACTAATATAATCAACTAATATGAAAGTGACAGACTAAAGGGAAAGTCGCTGGTTAACACCACCAACCACTAACTCTTGGGCTACTCTTTTAACCAACAACGTGGGATTGACCATCACTTTATAACATTAAATTGTTCACGGCCCTAACTACTGCACCATTCAGTATGTGTGTAGAAACAACATCAGGGGCCTGCATAGTGAGACAGTGATGTTTTAACAATAAATGGAAAGAAAACTGGAAGTCTACCCAATTATTGTACAAGTGAGATAACTTTGACCAGCTGAAATAATGCACTTGTCCTGTTGAATGAATTCATGATGGAAGTCAACTTGCCCTTATTCATCCACTACTCATACGTATGAGTGGACAAGTGGAATTTTTGAGGCCTGATATGTATCTGATTTAATTTCTATAGTTGATTTTATTACAAGAGTTGGATTTAATTGTTATGATGTACTAGAAAAAAATTCATATTTTAAGATAACTGTTTTTTGTAGCCTTTTTGTTTTTCAAACAGCATCTGAAGGAGACAAAAATCTGAAGTGTGATGTTAAAAATACATGTTATAATTTCAAGAAATAATACCGAAAATACTGTTAGATAAAACTCCTTTTGGATAAGCTAAAACTAGCTTTGCAAAGTATTCTGTAGACACATATATGGATATATGGTTTAATGTGATGCAAAGCCTACTTTGTGTATTCTGTAGATACATATATGGATATATAGTTTAATGTGATGCAAGCCTACTTTGTGTATTCTGTAGATACATATATGGATATATGGTTTAATGTTTGCAAGCCTACTTTGTGTATTTTGTAGATACATATATGGATATATAGTTTAATGTGATGCAAGCCTACTTTGTGTATTCTGTAGATACATATATGGATATATAGTTTAATGTGATGCAAGCCTACTTTGTGTATTCTGTACATACATATATGGATATATGGTTTAATGTGATGCAAGCCTACTTTGTGTATTCTGTAGATACATATATGGATATATATGGTTTAATGTGATGCAAGCCTATTTTATGTGTCACATTATTCAACCTTAAAGTTGCTTTGTGTCTTTCCTTATTAAGGAATTGAAAGCTTTATTAGCAGAAAAAATCAAGGAAGAACAGAAGAATGTGAAGAGTTTTAGGGAGCAGTATGGTAGCAAAGTTATAGGAGAGGTCACAGTTGATCAGGTAAGATAAGTAGTTTAGTTTTTGATAAACATTTTAACTACAGAATTTAATATTTCATTTACTATATATAGTTTTTCTTGTAGTAACAAAATCTTCCAAGAAATTGAATCTGTTAGTATAGTTTTCTGGTTTAACTACGACATTCAAAATTTTGCAACTTTGTAGTTGGCACGCCTTAATTGCTTTAAATCTTTTTCGTACAGTAATTATGCTATTGTTTTTCAGGTTAATCACACTTTTAGATGTTATTTCATTATCCACTAGCTTACTGCATTACAGCCGTCTAGTTTTGTTGCTTTCTCACTATGTAGGTTTATGGAGGAATGCGAGGTATCAGAGGTCTTGTAACAGAAACTTCACAATTGGATCCTGAAGATGGTATTGAATTTCGTGACTTTACCATTCCCCAAATCAGAAAGTTGCTCCCTAAGTCTCCTGGTGGAGGAGAGCCTCTTCCAGAGGGCTTGTTTTGGTTGCTGTTGACTGGGGAGGTTCCCACAGCAGAACAGGTTGGTATAAAAATTTCAACTGTACATTCCATTTTTTGTACATTTGATTTCTAATATATAACCAAATAAAATATTTGAAAAAATAACAAGAACACAAGAATAAATTCAGTTTCAAGTTTGATTGATTTATATGACATGTATGACCAGAGCTATGGCTCATTTTTTAATATGAGGTGGAGAAAACACAATGTGTATGAGAGAGTGAAAAAATCAATATTGTGTTATTCCAGGGTTGAAAAGGTTTCATGTTAAGGACTATCTATTGAATAACAAAAGAGCAACTAAACATTTTACAGCTTAAGTATGTAAACAACAATAATAATTTATTCATTTTAAAATTATGAACTCAAAGCATAATGTGAGCTTCACACTCCCTAAGTGATTTACAACTTATAATGGCATGAATAGTAGTAGTTAGATGTGGTTCAAAGGGCAATAAACCAATAAAATTTATGTAGAAATAGATGTATACTGTTATGAGTTTAAAGCTACTTAGAATAAACGAATGTAGTTTCCTGTTACAATTTGAAGTCTTTCTAGAAAGAAAGAAAGGTAATTTAGATTAATTTATTTTGTGTGTGTGTGTGATTACGAGGTTGGTCAAATTGACCAACCTTTTATAAAGTTAGGGTAGAGAAAATAACAGATAAAATATAAAGTTTTACTGAAACAAACATTGAAATGTATTTAGGAGGTTTTAGAGATTATGCAAATGAAATTTGAGATTTTTGAGATGAAGAAAAGTATTTTTAATCTTGACATGAAAATCACTTTGCACATGTACTAGTAAAAAATAAATGCTCAATATATTCACAGACAAGTAATTATTTTTTTTAGTTTATTAAAAATACTTCACTAAAAACATGATTTTTTTATAGGTGAAATACTTATAATGTTTATTGAAAGTTGGTCAAATTGACTGCGCCTGTGTTGAGAGAATCATTAATGATCTCCCATTTAGGGGCCACAATATGAAAAAAAAAAAAAATCTAAATATTTACTTTGAATGAACCCTGACATATCCATGCCATTTTTCTGTCCTAATAGCTCCAGAAACTTGTTTAACCCTTATACTGGGGCTCAATTTTGAAAATTTCCAAAATTTAAAGTTATATATTGTATCATAGGCCCATGAGATCTAAACAATCCTCCTTGATCCCCTCTATGGGACCTCATAAACTCTTTCAAAAATGTTTTCTTTGTTCATGTTTGATGGATGTCAAGAGTTCTGCATGCAAAAGACTTAATGATCAAAAGTCATTATCAGGGATGATACTCAAGTAATAACTCATTTAAATAGATATAAAAAAATTAAATTTTTAACATTAGGTCGTTGGGATAAACAAAATGACAGACTTAAAATTTTGTCTCAAGAGACTGCTGTTATAAAATTTTTGCATATATATAGATAAGGTTATAAAAAGTCATTTTAGCATGTTTGCTTATTCTAACTATAAGAGAATTTTGTGTCGATTATGATTATATTTTAATATTGTGCTTTGACTTTCTACGGTATTATTCTTTAGAAATAAAAGGGAATCAATCTTCTACTGAAAAAAAGGAATGCAAGAACTTCTTTATAACTCACCATAATGCCAAATTCAAAGTTGTTAATTGTTTGAAGTAGTTTTTAATAGAAAAACATCTTCATACAGTACATATCAAAATAAACAGTATAAATTGAGGAAGGTTGAAATATATAGATCAAGACCGTATGTAAACATAATGTAAGCAAAATGAAACAGTACTGTGAATATGATATAAAAGGTGAATTTGAATTCTTTGTGTATATAACTTTTATTCTTGTTGCATGTTCTGTAATGCATGAAATTAATTTCATTACATCAAGGGATACCTTTAGGTCATAAAAGTCACTCTTAACCCTATCTCAACTGGTCTCCCTATGGTCTGGGGTCAAAGGGCATGTCATGATGTTTGTAGACTTACATTCAAAATTTTATTGAACTACTCTTTCCTCTAGTTTGTACTAAATAATCCTCTTCAGTATAGATTTCAATACCTTGCAACTATCTTTGATAGTTCATCCTCTTTTTTTTGCAAATTTTACTATTATAGGTCTTGGCCACATTTCTCCTTGCATTCTTGATGTGTTCAAGTAGTTCCCAATGGGACAAATCCATACACCCTTATACTTCTTTTCTCACCTTTTCTTCTGACTGTCTGCTGGTTTCCTTTCCATTTTATTTAATTCCTTTGAATTCAGTTTTCTACATCTTTTTTGGTTTTCCTTTTTTCCCTTTCCTGTTCCATTGTTACTTGCAAATCATTCAATCATTTTTTATTCATTCTCCTTTTTTATTGTGTGTAATTTCTTGTGAATTTTCTTCTCTTTTATACTATATCTTCTTTTTTTTTCCATTTGATTCCATATTTTATATATCTGATCTTTTATATTTTTAGCACTAGGAAGCATAGTGTTGTGATTCATATTTCTGCAAATGTCATCTTTGTTTCCCTTACTTTGAAAAATGTAATTTTTTTTAACTTTAATGTACTATTACTTTCTCCCCATCCATCCATCCATCCATCAGTAGGTAAAGTACATTTGTTATGCTTCTTTGCTTTAGGTTTCCTCGGCTTAAATATAGTTTCTCATACCAAATCTCTATTCAAAAACTTCTGTGCTACATCATTAATAATTCAATCCTTGTCACAATACAACTTTATATTTCGTTTTTTAAATCACTTTCAAATTCATATATTACTTGTTCCATTATAGCTTGTCATGTTAGTTATTTTACATTATCGTTTTCCTTTCCAGGTACGTGTTGAAAATATTTTCAGTTTTCGTACTCAGCACATGAATTTCTTTATTCTGTTGTATTTTTGTGTAATGTTTTTAGTCTATTATATATTTTTTTATACTCACTTTCTTGGTCTTATTCTTTTATTTGCTGTTATTTTTCATGTTACTTTTTTCTTCCATATTCAGATGGAAAATATGTGCTGTTTTAGTTTTTCATGTTCATTTTTGAATTTTTTCATGTATTATTTCCTTGTAATTTTGTGGTTCTACATTGTAATGTTAATGTTTCATATATTTGATTGTAAAAAATACATAATTATCTTCAAGGATCTGAAAAGTTACTGGTGATGTGGGTCATATACAAATTAAACAATAGAGAAGAATAGAGTGATGCATACACTGTTTACATTTTGTATTTACTGAAAACAGATTATGGTAAATTCAGTGGAAGGCATATCATACTTAAACTTGTTTTTATGTTTTGAATGCATTGTTTAACATGAAAAACTTTTTTTTTAGGTGAAAACTGTGTCAAAAGCTTGGGCTGAGAGGGCAGACCTTCCCTCACATGTTGTAACTATGTTGAACAACTTTCCATCACACTTGCACCCCATGTCTCAGTTTAGTGCAGCTATTACAGCATGTAACACAGAAAGCAAATTTGCTAAGGCATATTCTGAAGGAGTTCCTAAAGCTACTTACTGGGAGGTAAGCTATTGATTTCAATAGATACAGTTAAACAAATACATGGAATACTGAAGGTTAGGTATAGAAATGAAACACTTCTTAACTAGATACTTCACAAAACAAAATATTGTGTTTACGAGAAATGATTTTTAATTCACCATAGGTTCTATTTCACATCATGTATTCTGTTTATGTGCTTCCAAGTTTATTGTCTTGTTACTGTTATCTATGTTGTAAACCATGTAGTGATGATTATTACTTGATTGTAAGACTTATTTCTTGAAAATTGTACCATTAAGCTTAACATTTGTGATACTAATTACTGGAATCTTTATAATGCTTGTACACTGACATTATCACAAATGAGTATGTCATAACTCAGTACAAAATGAAACTAAAACCTGTAATCATTAGAAAGCATTGAATTATTACATAGATATCATACAGATTATGACATTTGTAAACTTTCATATTTTTGAAGAAATCACAGCTTTTCAATAGGTTTTTCTGAAACTTGTTTATTTGTACTACATTTTAATCACTGGTGCCATCATTGTCAAGTATTCAAAACTTATTAGATCATTATTTAAGATATTGGGTAATGTCAAATTTCATCTTCATAAACTCAGAAAATCTTTCTTGTATCCAGAATGATCAACGATCTGGATCATTTTTTATAGCGTGATGTGGAGTCTCAACCTTAATGTGCCCATGAAATTTGGTACAAATCCTATCACACTTTACAGAATTATTAACAGAAAACTTGAAAATATCCTATTTTCCCATTATGAAAAAATGCTTCAAAGTAAATCAGGATTCAGATCCAGACCAAATTTGGGAAAGACTGTCTCATACTGACTTTCCATTTTTTGCAAATTTTTTTGTACATTGGTCTATTAGTTTTTGAGATATGCATGCGGAAACTCAGATATATATATATAAACACTCACAATTCCAATACCCTCACAGTGTGAGGGTAAAAATATACTAGAAAACAAAAGTACAGTAGCTACCTTTACAGTGAATTATACATATATTTTGTAGCCAAAAAATTCACCAGATAGTTTGTTTGTTTGTGGAATAATCATTCTTTTTATGGGCCCGGCATGGCCAGGTGGTTAGGGCACTCAACTCGCAATCTGAGGGTCGCAGGTTTGAATCCCTGTCACATCAAACATGCTCGCCCTTTCAGCCGCGGGGGCATTATAATGTGACAGTCAATCCCACTATTCGTTGGTAAAAGAGTAGCCTAAGAGTTGGCAGTGGGTGGTGATGACTATATGCCTTCCCTCTAGTCTTACACTGCTAAATTAGGGACGGCTAGTGCAGATAGCCCTCATGTAGCTTTGGGCGAAATTCAAAACAAACAAACAAACATTCTTTTTATAATGAAATAATTTAATTTAGTAATGTCTTGTTTGTACAACCTGATATGTATTACCATTTTTAATCGATAGAAAACAAAACAACTTTTTTCTCTATTTGTGAAAAACTTGTGACCTTGACACTTCACGTGGTGTTTTTTTTTAACACCCAATATGTAATACAAATTTTGAAAACTGTGTTCCTATATGTGTACTCAGTTGTGATCACATTCAAACAATAGAATTTTGCAGCATTGTTGTAAAGTATTACTAAAAGTGTATAGACTATCACAAATGCCCCCCCCCCCCCCAGTGGCACAGCGATACGTCTGCGGACTTACAATGCTAGAATCCGGGTTTCGATACCCGTGGTGGGCAAAGCACAGATAGCCCATTGTGTAGCTTTGTGCTTAATTACAAACAAACTATCACAAACAGTACTGTCAAATTTACATATTCCTGTCCAAATGAACAAGGTAAAAATGTAATGTTACCCTAGGAAATCTTGTGTTTTCCCTAATAATAAAAAAAGTATAGCACTTTCTCTCTGCCCTAATGATGAAAGGATGATTGGTTTGTGGTAAACCATGTTTTTCAATCAAATGCAATGCTCTAGCATCCTTTTCACCCTCTCTAATCATATTAAACCCTCAGTTGTTCCATACACTGGAACGTAACTGATCTCTCAGCTTTTGTCACATGTATTGCATTTAGTACTGCACATTACATCTTTTTTTCATGAATCCCAAGTCACAGAGAACACAATTTATTATTTTTGACAATCATCAACATAAGAGATTATGTAGCAGTTGTTGTTTTTTACCACATATATAGACTAAACAATATCTGAAATGTATCTATAATTTGTTGTGATTGAGAGAGAAATTAGTTACATGTATTCTAATACTTTTCCTGAAAGTAGCATAAGTAAAATGTTTATTTTATTTCCTAACCTTGGAGAGAAAAATTGGTTACAAACATCCTATACCATTTATTAGTTTTAAGATTTGAGGATGGCTGTGATAAGATTGTATTAGCCTATACATTGGAAAAACAAAATTTAATCCTATACCATTTATTAGTTTTAAGATTTGAGGATGGCTGTGATAAGATTGTATTAGCCTATACATTGGAAAAAAAAAATTTAATCCTATACCATTTATCAGTTTTAAGATTTCAAGATGGCTGTGATAAGATTGTATTAGCCTATACATTGGAAAAAAAGAAAATTAAATAGTATTTTTAGAACCATTAGGTGTACTTAATATTTAAAACTATGGTTATTCTAAAAAATAAACTTGTGTTCTCCGTGACTTATCTCATGAAAGAAGATGTAGTGTGCAGTATAAAATGCAGTATGTGTGGCAAAATCTTTGTTGGAGAAGAAACTGGCAGATTATTTAGGTTTTACTATATTAAACACCTAAAGGCCACTATGATGTAAGAAGGTGAAAATAGTGCTGTAACAGCACATTTTATTGACAAGCATGGATTACCACAATCCAATTACTTTTTCCCTATTAAGATAGAGAAAGTACAACTCCCTATTGACCTGATCTCACATTCAATGACAGACATAAAAATGGTCCTTTGGAATTCTGTTTTCATATTTGGATTTTGGCTTGTTATTTTTCGATTATTGGAAATTATTTACCAAATTAACATTAAAAGTACTTCTCGTTTTAAAAGAAAATATGTAAAATTGAATATTTTGCTTATTTTAGTTCATGTATCACTTACTATTGCTATTTTTCAATAGTTATAATAGTATTTCACAATATTATTACGAACTTGAAATTATAATTATTACACTTTTTTTTTCTTTTTTAAGAGAGATATGTGAGA